AGTCTAAAGAGGGGCTTGACGTCGAGATGTTATCCTTTATGGATTACACCACTCCTTGATGCATTCACAAGGCATGTAAGAGATAAATCATGTATGATGATTAAGTTGGACTGGGAGTTAGCCAGACTGGACAATGACTTTTGGAAGGGTGATTTCTCTTTGGGATGGTGTCGGCACGTGCTGTAGTATAGTGTGAGTATCCTTATGTTTTGTGTGAAACCCATGTTAAACTCCTGGCAGCGAGAGACATGCTGAGGTGATGGGAATGTATCCCCATGAACATGAGAGACTCAGGTTAAATTCCTGGCAGTATATGTTGTATGATGAAAGACCGGCAGGGGGTTAAGCCTGACGAGACCTAGACAGGGGGTTATAGCCTAAAGAGAGTCCCATCAGGGGGATAAGTCTGACCTATCTATGAGAAACTAAAAGAAGGATGAGTGGCCGCCAGTGGGATGATGCTGAGATCATTCTTCTAAAATGTTCTTGTAATTCGTCAGGTTGGGTAAAACCAACGGTGGATTTTAGATTCCGGGGAAAAACCTGCCAGAGGTTATTTCTGGCCCCCTTCCAACTCGTGAGTGAATGAAAGTACTATCGAAGGAAGGTTTGAAATGATTGAAAGGCTTGAAAGTAAGTCTCTGTCTGTTAAAGGCTTGAAAGTATGCCTCTGTCTGTTAAAGGCTTGAAAGTAAGTTTGTGTCTGTTAAAGGCTTGAAAGTAAGCCTCTGTCTATTAAAGGCTTGAAAGTAAGTATCTGTCTGTTAAAGGCTTGAAAGTAAGCCTCTGTTTGTTAAAGGCTTGAAAGTAAGTCTTTGTCTGTTAAAGGCTTGAAAGTAAGTCTTTATCTGTTAAAGGCTGAAAATTACATCTTTGTTTGTTAAAGGCTTGAAAGTAAGTCTTTGTCTGTTAAAGGTTTGAAAGTAAGCCTCTATCTGTGAAAGCCTTGAAAGTCACAAGCGGTTATCGGGTAGCTGAAAATTCAAGAATGCAAATTCTGAAGTGAGAGTTTTTGGCAGTCTGAAAATCTTGAGTGGTCCTGAAGTGGTCAAGTGATAGTTTTTTACAGTCTGGAAATCCTGAATGATCCTGACGTGGTGAAAGGTCCAAAGACCATGAAAATCACCGTTCACCACTTCAGGATGCAGCCTGCCTAAACAGGTGGTTTTCAGGATCTTCGTAATTTTCACCACTTTAGGACCATTCAGGATGTTCAGATTAGAATTATCTTGAAGTGGTGAAAGGTCGTAAGACCCTGAAAATCACATGTTTAGGCAGGCTGCATCCTGAAGTGGTAAAGGGTGTCCTGAAGTGGTGAAAGGTCCGAAGACCTTGAAAACCACCTGTTTAGGCAGGCTGCATCCTGAAGTTGTGAAAGGTGTCCTGAAGTGGTGATGAAAATACGACTGTTGTTAACCTTCTCTCTGAAGTTTGTTAAAGGCTTGAAAGTAAGCCTTTGTCTGCAAAAGGCGTGAAAGTAAACCCCTGTCTTTTTAAGGTTTGAAAGTAAGTCTTTCTTGTTGAAGTTATCGAAAATAATGAAGTCTACATGAAGTATTTTATAAAAGAGTATCTACGGGATTATGAAAGGAAAGAAAGACGAACGACGAAAACGTCGCTCGTCAGGTACGAGTATGTAAAATTTGGATTAATTCCAGATGTATAATGATTATGAGATATATTTGGTGAGGTCTTATAAAGACTTCTTCTTGTCATTGAAATACAAACGGCTTTCAGCAAAGGGTCGTTATGAAGTTCTAACCGAACTTGCGATGGTAAGGTGGGAAAGACATAAGGAGGCTTTAAAAAAATAATTTTGTGCACCTCACCGGTCTGGATCAGACCTTGTAAACGAGATGGTATCAGCCGAATTCTGCTCGGAACGAGATCTGTAAGCTCTGACAACCGCCTCTGTGTATCCTCACGTATATTAAGAGACATTAMAAAAAAAAAAAAAAAAAAAAAAAGACATTGGTGAGCGTTTTGACAAAGCTGGAGGGCAATGCGAGTGAAGGAAAAAATGGAAAATGGACTACTTTACTGAACAACAAAATAACTATGTTTAACAGTTTAAATTTAAATTTAAATGAAACTTTTCTTCGTGAATTTCCCTTTAAACGACCAGTGCGAGCTCTCTCGTCTCAAACTTCTAGTGGCATTCAAGGAGCGGCACTTTCGATGAATCGCCCCTGCCAAGAAGTGGTTTGATTCATTTGGGGAGAGGATGTGGCGGATGATGGCACCGGGATAGTCCACGCAATAGAGGCACATATGTTCCTGTCTCTTATACACATCTAGATGTGTATAAGAGACAGTTCTTTCTATGACAGCTTGCTGAAAACATTGACGGTACATGGCATGTTGCTAACATGTCATCAGCAAAGAAGGCTGACATGCGCAATTGTTCAAGCACGGCAGATCAAGGCCACAATGGCAAGTTGGGCAAGTAATCAAGGGGGCGGGGGGGGGGGTGTGAGTACAAGACAAAGGATTGCAATTTTTGTGGCAGAGGATGGCAGTGACCATCGAGGCTATGCTGTGGGAGGAGGGAGCAATCCCCATCCCCTGGAGAGGTCCCTTCACTGTTCGTGGTAGAATCCGTCCGATCCACACAGGGAGGGGCTGCTGCCTGACCACACGCAGGGGAAGAAGGCGGTTCAATCGGATTGCTCTCCGGAGGCAGTAGTGCTCACGAATGCTCATCGCCATACTGTTCCTGATGGACGAGCCAGACCGAGTGCTGTTCTACCGCTTGGTGATAGAAAGAGTTGATATTTCCCGCTGCGTGCACCCTACCGCCATTGTCCCATAGAGTCCATGAGTTATCCGCAAAGCTAAGAGCACTGAAATGACCCAGGCGATGTAAGATGTCTGCCCGAATATTCGGATTCATGCCTGGCACGTGATTTTGTGGAGTACAATGGAGTTGTAGTCGCCTACCCATACCAGGTGCAGTACTGTCATCCTCTGGGCAGAAGGCACGGTGCTCTTCTTCTATCCAGCGGACAACGTCTCCAAAATTAAAAACAGTATTAGGGTTGCGATTGTAGGCAAGGAGACACACATTATTTAATGATCATTACATTAATGGCATAGTACACACAGCGCCCTCGCTGCAGCACTAGACATCATCCTATTCTGCAGGTTGCGCGGCAAGGGGAGGTTCATCCAATTCTCCAGATTCCACGGCAGGCGGAGATTCATTGCAATCTTGACCATTTCTGTCACGTTCCTCCGGCTGTATTATGCACTCCGGAGAGAGATCTTTTGGAATCGGGGGCTCCATCAGGTGGTCAGAAGGTGGCTCATTATCATTTGAGGCAGAGGAGCATGCAGGGTCAGGTAGATGGGGAATAGATGGGTCAGATGCGGGAAGCGGAGGTTGATCAGTCACACTTGTGCTCAAAGTGGCTTTTAGTCATGCAAATGCTGCGCAGGTAGCTGCACCTCGTGCCTGGCGCACAAGCAGGCCTGCAGCACTGAAGAAATCATCACCACATTGCGGGCATCGGACTCGATATGTACTACTCCTGGCTAGCGTATATTGAGAGCGACAATGTCGTTCTCTACGGTTGCGAGCATGTCGTCGGAGCAGATCTCTAACCCCTGCAGGGGGTGTGGTGTTCGTGATGTTCCAGGACAGACGAGGTCGTTGTCTTGGAGGCGGTGGCAGCGAAGAGGCGTTTGTAATGGTCAATCCGACGCTGAATGTATCTGCCAACGGGGCCTTTGTGACGACTGATCTGACCATGAATGTGCTGATGACGAGGTCAATGAAGAAGGAGAGGCATGCCAGGTGGAGGATGATGATGAGAAGGAGGCGGCGGCGAAAGATGAAGAGGAAAATGAAGAAGAGGAGGCAAATGACTGAGGGGACGATGTAGTAGTAGGTGTCGGCGGCGGAGATGGTGGTGATGGTGGTGGGGGCGGTTGTGGTGGGGGGGGCGGGGGGGGGGGGGGGGGGGGGGGGGGGGGGGGGGGGGGGGGTGGAGGTGGTGGAGGTGGAGGCGGCGATGATGACGGCACACGTTCGGCAGCAATCGTCGCCACGTAGCTAGGATGCAGGCCTTCATCCCCTGCAGCCATTGCGACAACGTTTACATTATTGTTGCGGCTGGCATGGTCTCCAGTCGGCGTATCCACATTAGTGTCTGTCATTTCCGCAGGAATAGCAGGAGAAGGTGTGTGTGTCTGTGTGTGTGTGGGTGTGGGTGTGGGTGTGGGTGTTCGATCTGGGAAGAGAGGGAAGGTTCTTCTTCTTTTTCTTTTGTAAGTCCATGGAAAAGAGGGGATGTCGCCATAGCTTCACGGTGGCAAGGAGGTCCCACCATTGAAGAAGGGTATGCTGCTTGAGAAGACAGCCATTTTTATTTCAAGTCCCAGAATTATTGCGACCCGAATATAACGCCCGGCCATTATAGCTGTATTTGGTGCATTTTTCAGTCCAGATGCAGCGATGATGACCCCCCATTCTATTCGGCCATTATAGCTGTATCTGGCTCATTTTTCAGTCCAGATGCGCATTTTTCAATTTTATTATAGCCTGGGATACGCCAGCGCCACAGAGAGATTGCCCTGGAGAGTGCCAGGCCTTTTTTTTGCTGTCTCTCTTGCAGTTTTTCAGACTTCAGTGCGTGCCAGGCCTGTTCAAAAGAAGAACGAAAAAAAGAAAGGAACAAAGAAAAGGGTCAACAGATTAGAATTTTCACAACCCAAACAAAACAAACAAACAAAAAAAAAAAAAAAAAAGAAGAAGAAAAAGAATCACAACCCATCCAATAAACCTGCTGATTGCATCGGGATTTGAACACATGATCTCTTCGTCAAAACTTATGTGGGTGTGCACCAATCACTGGCAGGGGCTTGGTACATGGGTCTGCTTGTAAAAAGGTCTGTGCCTCAGGAAGAACAAAAAAAACTAGGAAAACTTCACACTGAAAAATCCACAAAACTCAGCTCACATCAGTGACCTGAGAGGGAACACCCAGACCTAGCCTTCCACAGCGATAACCTGTTTGTTGGTGCCTGAAGAGGCAGGAAATTGGAGACAGAAGAGGCATCAAAAAAATTGTCAGCGCCCGAAGAAGGAGGTAATAATTGTGTTTTTCGCAGGGAACAGACTAGGCAAAAAAAAGCATAGAAAGACACGGGCCCGGGGGTAGAGTGGTGCTGCCGTCTCAGGGTCCGTCTCAGGGTCCCTTGACCAAACTGAAGGGACATATGGTGTGCCGTGCCGAATCTGATGTGCGGGACACCGGACCCGCTTTCCCGTCTCTTAGTAATAATAAAAAATTTAAATTAGTAAAAATAAAAAGGACTGTCTGGGGGAAAAAACACAAAGAAGAGACAAACCCAACAAAGTTGAACAAAGTCGAACAAACTGAAAACAGAAAAGAAAAAGAAAAAACCACCACCAGGATCAATCACACATATCCATGATATCTTCAGGTATCTTCAGGTATCTTCAGAAATCTTCAGATATCTTCAGATAGTCAGCGGATTTAACACATGAAGCTCAAGTAATCACCAGGTAAAGCCCATTCGATGGCGTCAAGCTGTCCTCCTTAGGGGGAAACATGTTAAACTTTTCGTTCTGGTCAGACGCATCTCTGATACAACAGCGACCTGGCGCCCTCCGTAAACGTAGCATTACGATGAGGCGGCACACACGCAACAACAAATCGCTGTCTTCCTTGGGCGGAAGCATGTTTCCGTTCTGCTCTGACGTGTCAGAGACAACAGCGACCTGCAGCCCTCAGTAGTAAGTAAAGGTGGCATCACGATGTGGCGGCATACACGCAACAACAAATATTATTCAGTTGTCCAATTCCGCCACGTAGTCAACCTCCAAGGGGGTGGTGGCATCATCATCATCATCATCATCATCATCATCATCATCATGTGCGGGCAGCATATGTGGTAAATGGTGGAGTTGTGGCATGTTGCCACGAGAGCCGCATAGCCGCAGCCGGATAGCGATCCCCGGCAATCTGATGGAATGGCACAGCTGCTTCAACCTCCTCCATCTGCGCCTGGGAGAGGGTGAGTCCGAGCGCTCCTAGATTGTCATGGAAGTGTGCGATTGATGTGGTCCCCGGAATTGGGAAGACGTCCTCTCCGCGCTGATGCACCCACGCAAGCGCAAGCTGCCCCGGTTTCACTCCCATGCGTTGAGCAATGCCCTTGAGACGTTCGTAGAAGACGCGGTTTTTCTCCCGCTGTTGAAACCGGGGATGGTCGCGCTTATAGTCATTTTCATTCAGCTTCAGATCTGTGCCTAATCCCGACAAGAATCCACGCCCGAGCGGGCTGTAGCCCACTATCCCAATGCCAAGCTCCCGGCAGAGGGGAACGATCTCCTCCTCCGCATCCCTGGTCCATAGAGACCACTCCAGCTGGACAGCTGTGATGGGATGCACAGCATGTGCCCTCCGGATGGTGTCGGCACTTGCCTCCGACAGCCCAAGATACTTCACTTTCCCCTCTTCCACCAACCGTTTCATCTCTCCCACTGTCACCTCGATGGGTATAGACGCATCCACTCTATGCTGGTAATACAGGTCTATGTACTCCGTCTGCAGGCGTTTGAGTGATGCTTCAGCGGCAGCGCGCACATGCTCTGCCGACCCATTTACAGACAGACTCGTGAAATTGCTGTCGACGATCACACCAAACTTTGTCGCAATCTGCACTTTATCGCGAGGTAGGGACGCAATCGCTTTCCCCAGGAGAATCTCATTCGTGTATGGTCCATATGACTGTGACGTGTCGAAAAGAGTGACACCCACATCCACAGCATGGTGAATGAGTTTGATCATCTCGTCCTCCGGTTTCGCGTCCATTCGGAATGGCGTCATTCCCATGCATCCCAGCCCTTGTGCCGATGTCATCATACCCTGCGATCCAAGTCTTCTGCACGGAATGACGGGAAGCTCAACCATAGCTGCTGACTTTCCTCGATCGATGAATCGACTGCAACCACTGAACGGAACGGATTTCATTTAGATTGGTGACCGATCCACTCGTGGTCAATAGGTGACTCAAGACTAAATCGTAAATAGTCATGGATGAACAGAACTGATTATTCAGTTCGATGCTTGTTCCATTAATAAATATATATATGGTACAGAATAGCCCCCCCCCCCCAAATGAACAATACCTGATTATCTATAGATTGGTCCACGAATCAATAGTACTTGAAAGCAATCAAGGATCTTTCTGTGGATGAAGAACTGAATTAGTTAAAACTTAAAACTTAAAAGAGTAATTGCTTCCCGCAAAGGAATCAAGCAAGCACCGCAAAAGAGAGTCCAGATGTACATATAAGGACACATTAGTGACATTACACAATTTAGAGGAAAGAAACAATCTCAAAAAAAAAAAAAAAAAAAAAAAAAAAA